TTGATCCGAACAACATATTGCTAACCCAATAGCAGGACGAATAAAGGCCTCTTTTCAACGATTATACTAGATCTGTTTATATCATAGAATATGATAAGAGATAAGAATTGGACTATAAAAGGAGAGTCTGTTACTTTAAAGCACTTTCAGATAAGCAAGGAAGAGAGCAAAAGACCTGAAAGCATCTATCTCTCTTTTGGGTTGATAGCCACTCTCAAAACATTCGCAAAATAGTGTGAACTCAAGTTAGTATAGTATGTCCGTGTATATTTTAAACTAGTAGTTGTTAGATTTTCAAATAAAGCATCTTTATTGTATTTTGTCTCGCCGGCCTCGGAATCCGCAATCTCGGGCCTGGAAGTGACGAGCTTCGCTTTCTGCAAATAGTTTTGAAATTTCAAGTTCGGCGAGTTACAAGATTGGCGTGCAACATTTAATACTAACCCAATCCCAATCTAATACCAACTCAATCCTAACTTAACTTGACACTATCTAACCCCCACTAATATCTACTAACTTCACTTAACTAAACCCAACTTAACTAAATATTAAAACCAATTCTATGCTAACTTTCTGGAGTAGTGTACACTTTAAGATCTATTTTAATAAGTTGCCAAATTCAGATTAACTGTGGAACCAACCAACCCCAAATGCCAAAATTGCCCGGATCACTCCACTAATTAAAGCTAATCAATTAGGCTAGTATTGAGTTGAGTTGAGTTAGTATTGAGTTAGATTGGATTGGGTTGGTAGAGATAATCTTATTGGGTGAAAAAGCCAGAGGGCTGGGACGGGCCTGAAATTATCAAAACGATCAAAAGCATTAGAGGAATAGCTTAATGGATCAAGTGGCCGAATATCAGCGTTAAGTTAGATAAAATTGCATTGGCTTTTTAAAGACATGCCTTATCTTAAAACTAGAATAGCTGTAGCTAGGTCGCAAGTTTATCGACAGAACAAGGTTGGTTGCTGGTTTGTACTATCTTCTTTATTACTATTGCTGGATGGAGTTTGGGGGGCTAGCAGGTTGAGTGTGAATAGTGAGCGAAGTCAGAGTAGCATTAGTAGTGATGCGACTATAGGTAGAAAACCGGTTTGGAGAAAGTCAAGTAAGATGGCTACAACATTACGCGGAATTGGGTTTGATCTTGGCGATGATCACGAAACTGTGTGGATTCAACCCTACAAGCCCGAGGCGTATGGACAGGCCTATTATATAGTAAAGTGCTCGGCTAGCGCAATCAACTTCACGATGCCATTTTATTCCAATGCAGATGAAGCCAAGCTGGCTTTGGATAGGTTGAGAGAGGTGGCCGTCATTAAAACCACTGCCATTAGAGTGACATACAGAAGAGCCAATATAAGCTGTTATACAGAAAACCTGCAAATTATATCTCGAGTTATTAACGTGGTTGATTGTAAGAATCTAGTGCTTTATTTGAATCCTAATCGGCCAAAGAATGTGGATCCTGATAAGATATATTTGAACTTTAGTTTACCAGAGGCAAATAGTACAATTGAGCGCGCTAAGTTAGGCCCATCATGTACGCTCCGGTTTTCGACTCGCGCGCATAAATCGCTTCCAAATTTGATGGCCGAAGGTATTGCCTTGGTGCGATCGATTTCAACGCTCATTCTGGAAGATTTGCAGTTTGAAGACTTCACATTTATGGACCAACTAACGCTAAGTGATGAATACGCCCTATACTTCAGATATTTACCGGAGGTTGTCAAGCTTAATTTCAGGTTTATGCACCACGCGTCTCCCAGATGCCAGCAGATCTCTATTGCGGGCCCCAAAGACACAAAGCTAACCATACTCGGTCTTGAGAATGCCACTATGACAATCCATCCACGGCTAGTTCTGGTGGTTGATTGGGGACTTCTTCAGAATTTGGCCATGAACAACAAGGCCACAATCACAGTCCATGAGCTTGTCGGGCGTGCAACTGAACCAATTCCTGGGCATCCGTCTATTTATGCCCCCATAATGATTAATGCCAAGAAAGTTGTTACTGAAATTGCCGCCAATATAGAGTGCGGCCACAACGATTTCATCCTCCGGCCCTACACCAAAGACATTTGTGCCAGGTATGGCATCAAGACCGACAGCGTTCGAATCTACTATAGAGACGATCGCAACGACATGCTTAGGACACTCGAGATACTTCAAAAGTGCAATGCTTTAGCAATAATACCAAAGGAAGTCCAGGAAAGGGACGTTGTATGTTACGGCAGAAGACTTAGCGTCCCCGATTGGGAGCTTCAGGAAACAGTTAGCTTTCGACTTAGCCAGCTCCCGAAGTGGGAAGATTTCAAGCTAGAGGCACAGTATGGCTCAAAGTTCTGTCAGGCTATACGCTACAAAACCATCCGAATTCTTGGCAGGCAGGCTCGTTATGAAGAACAGCGCCAACAAGTCCAGCATCTTATAGAACTATTTCGGTGTCTTGTTGTGGATGAGCTTAGAATCACCAATCTCTGCGACGACACTCAAGACAATAGCTTCTTCCTTCCGAGAAATCTTCAAAGAGACAACTGGGGCCGTAGCCAATACCAGCTTGACATTAAGCTTTTGGTGCTAGACCGTGTTGACAACCGCTTCCTTTATTGGATGATAAAGCACTATCTGTTCAAGGGTAACATCGAGGTGCACATTTTGAACCAGCGCTTCACGAATCTAAATGTAGCCGTGCTACTCTCTAAATCAATAACCCCACAGATATCAAAACTTGTACTCAATGACTTCTTTGAGCTAAACGAAATCAAATACTACAACCAACCAGAGAAAATCCACGGGTTCTCTTTATTCAAATATGCATCCACCAAAGCCGCCGAAGGAGTAACAGACGAGTTTACTTGCCTGTCCAAACTATTCCTAGATCTGGGCTGTCTTGATTGTAGGGACTATGATAGTGTCTTAACCACACTTGCGGCCTATAAAGTCGGGTTCCGATCGGCTTCATTCGATGTGTACATTAACAACGCCATAACGGCCTACACAAAAGGGCTAGCCGCCGCCTGTCCAGACCGGTCACAGGAGCATGAGGAAGCCTGGCTAAACAACAAGGAGGACGAGAGCGACCTGAGAACATTAGTGCTTTATTGGCTTGATATAAAGGACATCAAAATAGACAATAATGAGCGTCGTGCTAACAGCCAGTCACAGGCCGAACCAGACCAACTACAAACCCAGTCCGTCAATAACCTTTGGCTATACTTCAGTGATTACCAGTTCATAAGCGAAAAGCGCTTGGCAATCATTATTCAATGGGCAGCCTGGCGATTTAAAGGTCTGATCAGTCTGCACTTAGCAAACCTTAAGGTGCTACAAAGGAAGAAGAATATACTAGCCAGCCGAACCTATTGGCTCATTGACCAACCATTGCTCAAAACCGTTACATTGTCCGGGCAGGGCCCCAACCGCACACCTTTTTATTTAACAATCTCCCTTTATCACAATGCCTTACTAGAATGCTTTGTTAGCCCAAATCCCCCGTTTGTGGTTGTATTAAAGGCCATACGCACCAACCCAAGACCAACCTATGGCTACAGTTTGCAATTCTCCTACGACATATGTTCCGATCACATCGACAACCACCAAGCCCTCATAGAAGCCACAGTAGGTCTAACATGGAATAAGTACGTTAGGAATTGCAGACGATGCAGCCGAATCCGCGCTCGACCCACGCAGATACCGAGAAAAAGAGAGAGGAAGACGAATAAGGTCAGCACAGATGAGAACAAGCTAAAAGCTGCGAACTCCGAGCACATGCACGACACATTAGCTTACCTCACTGTACCATACCTACACTGCCAGATTTGTGCATGCATTAACCACGATGTGTATTATCCAACAATACCGGATGAGCAGCGGCAAACAAAGGATTGCCGCTTTATAGTCCAGATGCTGCCCACATTTATCTTCGCCGAGGGCAGTACCCATAATATCCCCCCAAAGTTCCAAGCTCTCATAGAAAAGCCAATACACTGCTCCCAAGTCGATTTGTATGCCGCCACCTACTTCAAGTCAGCACTCGCCTCAGTACTCGAAAAGGAACTAGAATCCGGAATCATCCAACTAGTCCACATCATCAGCACATGACCCAATAAACCAATCTCCTCTTTATCTCATCGCATAAGTATTCAGTTCAGTTCAGTTCAACTCGGTTGCTTTGGGTTAGTATTGGGTTAGTATTCAGCTATGCCAGCATTCATTTGGCATAAATTCATTTCCCTTCCTTACATCACATCACCCAATACTAACATCTCCTTCGAATATTAACAATACACAATACAATACAATACAACACCTATCACATAATCAACATCAAACCAACTCAACACAAACTAATAATACACTAATAACATCTATTTATTGCGTTGAGTGGGACACATTTTCGTTGTGGGTACTCCGGTTAAGAATTTCGCGGGCTAATTTAATGATCATTTCCAATCGCTCCTTAGTGTTCTTATTAAGGTAGGCACATTCCAGATCCAAGTGCAACTGGGCATTTTCTCCCAAATAACCACTATGCGGATTGGGCGGAATTTCGTTAGGAATCTCCACACCACAAAGCACCGAAGTTTCATACGCCCAGCACCGCGAAACGTGCTTAGGCCGGTACCCTCCACCACCCACCACCAGCATAGGAATCTTCTTCTCCTTAATATGCCGCACACACTCGCCATGTCCACGAATAGATAGCCCAAAGCACCCAATCCGATCAGCAGCCAAAGAATCCGACCCACATTGCATCACAATTACTTCCGGCCGATACGAGTCAATACACATACTCGTTACCTCCTTAAACACATAATGGTACGATGCATCATCAATCCCAAAATCCAAAGGCACATTAATAGCCGTACCCACTCCACCTTCCCGGCCCGTACAGCAAATACTCCCTGTACCCGGAAAGTACTTATCCCCATACTTATGAAAAGATACAGTCATTACTCGATCTGTATGATAAAAAGCTTCTTCCACTCCATCCCCATGATGAATGTCTATATCTATGTACATCACCCGCCGGTGCTGCTTCAATAACTCCTGAATAGCCAGCACAATATCGTTCGTATAGCAGAACCCACTCGGCCCATTCTTCTTTGCATGGTGCAGACCTCCCGCCCAATTAATAGCTATCTCATACTGCTTTTTATTCAGCAAACGCGCTGCTTGTAAAGACCCGCCAGAATAAAGCGCACAATACTCCCCTATCCCTTCAAATACCGGACAATCATCTGTAATTCGATCACAAGGCGAATTACTTCCTGGCGAACATAGAAAATCAACATACTCCTCAGTATGATACTCAGTCAGTTCTTGCTTTGTAGCTGGTTTTATCTTAAATACGTCCATATACCGCTCTAAACCATACGCAAAGACAATCGAATGGGTAACTGCTACTCTATAGGGCTTCATTGGATGCCCAGCACCATAATGAAAGTTGCGAGAATCAGAACTATAGAAGTACGCAATTCGGGCCATATATGGTAATACAAAAAAATGTTTAAATGAGAATACAATCTGTTTCTCTCTCGAACTTCAAAAGCTTTACTGAAAATGTACTGATTGCTGAACTTTCCCAAGGACCCAATATTTTGGTTGGCAAAAATGGTTCTGGAAAGAGTAGTCTTCTTTTTGCTATTCGCTTTGTAATCAATGCCCATTGGCGTATCAGTCCAGCAGAACGACGAGCGATTGTTAATGAAGAGAGTCCAGAGATAAGATCTTATGTTGAGATTGAGTTTGAAAACAAAGACAGAGTATTTCCCGGGGGTGATCAAGTAGTAATTAGGCGGAGTGTGACTCAGAAAACTGAAGAGTATACTGTAGATGGCCGGATTGTCAGTCGTGAAGAAATGATTTCTCTGTTTGAAAGTGCCGGAATGACTCAGGCCATGCCCTACCACTCGGTTGAGCAGGGTAAGATTGGTGAGTTAGCGCAAATGTCTGGAGAGGAGCGTATGGCTCTAGTTCGTGAAATTGCTGGCTCAACTATCTATGAAAAGGATAAGAGTGAAGGATGCCGAGTGCTTGAAGAATCAGAAGTACTAGAGGAAAAGATAAGAGACCTAACTAGAACAATTGAACGGCGAGTGGAGTTAGAAGCCCGTGAAAGAGCTCGACAAGCCGCCCGGCAAGTAGCTGTTGGTAAGAAAGAAGTACTAGTGCGTGAACTGTACAAACGTGAGTTGCACCGGCTGAAGACAAAGCTAGAAGACTTCTGTGCTGAAGAAAGCACAATGAATGCCTCAATGGAAGAGAGTGCTGAAGTTTTACAAGTGCGTTTGGAAGAGATCTTATCACGAATTCCTCCAGAGTACCAGCCAATGAGTTCTACTCCAGTTATTAGTGCGACTCAGACAGAACGGATTGCAGAGTTAGCGGCAGCAGTTCTTACCGACCAAGAACAATTGGGAATCTTACGCGAAGAAATCAGTCAAGTTGAAGCGACTCTAGCTTTATCACGAGTGCTAGAGAGTGAAATTAACTCATTGCGGATTTGTGGACCAGAAGCCGTCCAAAGAAGAATTCAGACGCTTAAACGCGAAGTATCTACCTGTTCAATAGATAAGGCCGAAGCCCAACGAGAAGAGGTTCTGGAGGCTAAACGAGACATTTGGCGGCGGGAGAAGGACTTACAACGGCGTAAGAAGGAGGCCGAGGAGAAAATGAAAGAGTGCGAGCGGTCTTTCCTGATGACGAACAAAGGCTTTGCGCTTAGTAGTGAAATGAAGTGTGAGCCGGGTGTTTTAGGCCATGTCTATGACCTGATTACTGTGCCCAAAGAGATTTTAATGCCACTGGCTCAGGCACAGAGTGGACTACTGACTAGTGTAGTGGTGGACAGTAAAGCAACGGCTTTTAGACTAGCCCGGACCCATCGTATTGACCAGACGATTATTCCACTGGCTAATCTTAGTAGACGCACTCCACGCCAAGTGCCTTTTCCGGCTCTAAGTACTTATATTTCCTGTGCTAGTCAGTATGCCCAGTTAGTAGACTATCTCTTTGGCGGTCTTTACTTTATCTCTGATTTTGAAACGGCTAAAGTTGCTTCTAAAAAACACCACATTAACGTGATTACGCGTAATGGTGAGTATTTTAGTAGTTCAGGAACTATTACGGGTGGAGAAGAGCTAGCGAGCAATAAGTTTCGCAGTTTTATTCAAGCTAAAGAAGAGTATGCTGCTTGTCTTGCCGAAGAGACTTTACTTATTCAGGCTAAAGAGAAGAACGAGACTCTTTATGCGGCTTATTTTGCACAGGAAGCAACACCTGCTTCTTATCTCAAACACTTTATCTTTATTTTGGAACACGAAGATTTTGATTTTGAAAACCAACTACTTGGTAAACGATCGCAATATGAGACTCTTCAGGCCCAGTACCAACAACGCGTTAAATCACTGGAGAAAGAGAAGGCCGATCAGGCTATGCTTCAGGAAATTGTTCGGCTTAAAGAGGCGGCCGCTGAAATTGAAGCCCGCTTAGCGCGTCATGCCTCACACTTCCAATGGAAAGAGAAGACGGCGGAAAAGACTCGTCTAGAGACTAAGTTCCGCAAAATCCAAAAGAAAGTCCTTAGTCTTAACGCCGAAGTAATTGACACGCTTGTTATTGATGCCGGCCGAACTGTGCACGTTCCCACTGCTAGCAAGGAAGAGCTAATTCAGTCCCTCTACCTCCTCCAGAAAGACATTGATGCGCTTCCCATGGAAATGGGCAACTCTGATAATCTTGCACAAGAATACGTCCGTATTCAAGATAAGCTAACCGAGTTACAGAAGGCCAAGGCTAAAATTGCTGAAATGCAAGCTACTCTGGAGACCCGTAAAGAAGAAGTCATCAACATAACTGTAACGCAGATAAAAGATAACTTCCACTACTTCTTCAAAGCCTTAACACACGGCATTGCCCAGATCACCAGCACTGCACAAAACAGCTCGCTAGACATTCAAGCTTCGTTTGCAGGCGAGCCCATGGTCTCCTCAGACGAACTTAGTGGGGGCCAGAAATGCATTATTGCTCTTTGTCTCATTTTATCGATCCAGAGCATTTATCCGGCCCCATTCTATCTTCTGGACGAGTTTGATGCCAGTTTAGACACGCAGTTCCTGCAAAACATCGTAGGTAGTGGAGTCCTTAGCAACAAGCAACTCTTCATCTCAACCTTCCGGGGTGAAACTCTTCTTCTAGGCGAGAAGTTCTTCCATGTGAAGGACCGTACTATTCAAGAGTGCACAGCCGCCGATGCCGAGGCCCTTCTTTGCACTTACCTTCCTAGCTCTAACACCAACTAACACCTCTAATAAATCATATCTTAGTGTAATCCTCATTACGCCCGTTTAGTTCATTATCGCTTAAGTCACTACTAATCCAATACTAACCCTATATTAGCATCATATACACCCAGTACTATCTCAACTTAATACTATTCCAACACAATGCCATCTCAACACAACCCAATACAACTCAATCCATCACTACCTCAACACTAACCCAACACAACTTAACCCAACACAACCCAATACTAACTCAATACTAACTCAACACAATTCTGACATTAACTAGATTTATTGTTGCCATTTAGGAATCGCTTTTATAAAGAACTCCATTGACATCAGCCACTGTAATAACACCAGACGGAACCTTAGAGTCGCCCAAGAAAGACTTCAGGTCAAAGGCGTGGTGTCCTTTTCGCCGTGACTCAATGGCTTCAGCCTCCGTGTATGTTAAAAATCGGAACGTTTGAAGATCGTTTGATCCGTTACTGCACATCTTTAACCCATACTCCTTGGTGCTTGGCTCCAGTGTGATGCACATTTTCCGTTGGCCGGACTTGATTTCATACACTGGATGGTCAGCAGTAGTGCTAATCACCTTAGTGAAAATAGTGGAATCGGACTTCGTTGGCAGATTATTCTCAATTGGAATCTCAATGTTTATGTCCTCTCCTACTGCATTGTACGTGATTACATTCTTGCTTCCATTAATCCAGGGCGTTAACTGAACCTCCACGTCCAGTGCATTCTTATCAACCTTATCAGACTTAGGCTCAACATCAAAGAGGACTGCTGCGTTCTTGTCCTGCACCGCAACTAACTTGTTGCCAGAGATTCCCAGATAGCTATCCCCAACATACGACGCAAGCAATATACCCTCCTTCTTTTGTGCATCCATCAGATACTTCATCATTTGTTTGGCCCGTCTCTCTGCCTTCTTTGAGCGCTTGAATCCTCGCGACCCCCAGGCTCGAGATTGCGACTTCATGCGAGACTCTACTAAGGAAAGAACTAGCACAACAACCAGAAAAACTATCAGTCCACCCGTTCTCATATCCCAACTAGTTGCAAGAGATTTAAATACCTGTTTGATTCTGATACTCTGTTTTGGCCTGTGTTAGACGGCCACGAACAATGGGCCAGTCTCCTTTTTTTCTTCCGGAATAGCACCCATGCTCCTTCGAAGGTGGCTCTTTGATAAGCGGTCATTCAAACATCGAGCTACACCATTGCCTTTGGCTCTGTTCTGTTGTGGCAGTTACAGACATTTGATTTTAATCTCTTATTGCGTTGCGTTGTGTTGATTTTGGATTAAGTTGAGTTAAGTTGGAGTTTGAGTTAAGTTGGAGTTTGAGTTTGTTGGAATTTTATCAATTGTTGACATCATTGCTAATTGTGTTAAGTTGTGTTGAGTTAAGTTAAGTTGTGTTAAGTTGGGTTGTGTTGGGTTGTGTTGAATTGAGTTGTGTTGAATTGGTACTGAGTTGAGATGGTATTATGTTGAGATGGTATTGAGTTGAGATGGTATTATGTTGAGTTAGATGTTGTGTTTAGTGTTGGATTGGAGCTGGCTATGTAAGAGTGTTTGGGATGGGTTTGAGCTGTGCTAAATATTAGGTTAAGTACGAAAGTGAGAAGTGGGGAGTTTGCTAAACTACTCTGATGTTTATTGAGCTGAACTAGCCACTGCGTTTACCCATTGGAATAGCTGTTTGGTTCGGCCTGGGCGATCGGAATCAATACACGGTTCGAGGGAGAGAAGTCTGTTGTTGGTGATCGTGAGACATGAGCCGTTAGTGTATATTTGGAAGGCGTGGTTTATCGGATCAATGACTGGAGAGAATGAAAATTGGTAGTTGTTGTTAATGGTATCTAGTGCAGAAAAGATATACCTGAACTTGGTCTTGAATTGAACAAGGTTGAGGGCAAAAACATCTCGAGAGGTCATGGTGTTTTGCTTTTCGTTAGAATCAAGTGCACTTGCATTACCATCACTAGTGGCGGTAGGTTTTATAAGGATTAGATTGTAGGGAAGGCCGTGGGTGCTCTGGCGATAAATGTAGATTTGGAGAGCCCTAGGCGGGGCTTTTACTAACCCAACCAAATAGTAGCGCCGACCACTCTCTAAAACTGTGACCTTGCCGAGATACTGGTTTGCGGCCATGCTCTTTAAGTACCCAGGCTTACCATTTTCAAATAGATTATCACTATCAGAAGTGCTAAAAGACCGAACTGTTTGGCCTAAAAGAACAAACAACACTAAACTAACCCAAATCATTATTGTCATTTAATCAATGATTATATATCCATTGTCTGTTTCATTCTGTAACATCCGTCTGAGACTCTGCCATTTTAATTCCGGTAGAAAGGCCCGCTTGTTTCGGGTGTTTCTTGAATGTCGTAGGCTGGCATGGCCGGATTCTGAGCCTGGTTCAAAACAAAAGGCGCGTGAATGTTAGCAATGAAATCGGCCTTTTTAACCCAAATAAACAACTGTGCGTCTCGTTGGGCGGGGATGTCGTAGGCACAGGTGCTGAGAAAAGGCACATTGTCCTCTGCAACGGTTAGACAGCTGCGCTGGCTATAAATACGGAAAGCGTGTTTGGAATTATAAACCACGGGGGAAAAGAAGAACCAGGCATTATGTTCGTTGTTGTATGAAGTAAGGGTAATTTCTCCATTAGCGCCGGCCTTTTGCAAGACAGGACAGCCTTTCACGTCTTCGGAAATGCCAAAAGTGGTGGGAGTGTACCCGTTTTTGCACTGTTTGATGTCGCGTGGATCGACAGAAATAAGCAATGCATAACTCAGACCAGGGTCTTTCATCATGCGCATACTGATAGGCGAGGCTGCTGAGCGATTGCGTGTAAAGACAATGGGTTTATCAGTGTTTGTTGCGTGAAGATCAAGATATGCATTGCTTCCGAGGTTGTACAAGTACCCCTCCTCGCCATCGTTATACATCGCTAACTCATACTCTTCACCAATTGAAGAGACAAAAGGCACACATAGGGCCAGCCAAGATAGAAGGCTCTTTCTGCTACCAGGAATCATCCGTTGCCAGATGTGATATTTCTTATACCAACCATGCAACATATGTATCAGGCTGATAATGCCGATTGGATTGAGTTGAGTTGGTGTTGGGCTGAGTTGGGTTGGGTTGAGTTGAGTTTAGATTAAGTGTGGAGATTAAAAGGCGAGTGTGCTTGACATTGGCCGGATTAATATGTTGTTACTCTTGAATTAGTACTGGGTTTTATTGTAACGGCCGTTTATTGGCTTGGTATTGACTTGGCGTTGAAATGGTCTTCACTTAAATCGCAAAACTACTCCAATGAGCAGACTCAGCTCGCATTAATGGACTGCTGGCAGGGCTACACATTTACCGTGCTATTTAACTTCCAATTGCCGACCCATTGGACCCATTGTTGGATGTTGCGTTTGTGGAGGTATTGTGCTCTTCCTGGGGATACCAGATAAACAGCTGATTATTTCGTTTGCTATCGGGGGCAAGCACGCACTTTTCTACTCTCAGATATGCATTGTTTTGTAACGCCAAGCACATGTTGCCTAAGTAGATCTTAAATGCGTTGGTTGTCTTGTGAACCGGCGGGGAGAACACAACCCATGTGACTGGATTACTTGGGTCTGTTAACAGTCCCACATACCTGTTTGTGTCCTCTCCTACTCGGCCGAGAACTTGATGCCCAAAGAAGGGAGAGTGTGTCATTCTGATGCTCAGCTGCTTAGGTGGTGCACCAAGGGCAGTTCTTACCTCGCTAAGTCTAATAATATTATAGGTCAGCCCGCGAAATACATCCCTTTCTATTGTCAGTGGGGTAGCCTTGGCGACGTCTTTCACGCCCTTTATCCACATAAATTGATCTTTAGGGTTGGCGCTGGTGACTAGATAAGCTTGGGCGCCGACATTGTATAAATAACCAGAGGTTCCATTATGAAATCCTTTGGAAAGTGGCACTGATTTTAAAGCAGGCTCTTTTGTATTTGATAAGGCCCGGATAGCAATCACTAATCCACTGATCAGAAAGGTCCTTTTCATCACCCGGATGCCGTCGGATCAATTTATAGTGGCCATGTAACAAGTTTCACTGGTTTCATCATAATACTAATTCAAAACCCACATATTCAATACTAAGCCAACCAACATCAATCAATACACAATCAACACCCAACTAATCCTAATTCTGCCCCCAATACTAACCTAATACCATCCCAACACAATACCAAACCAACAGAATACTAAACCAACCCAACCCAATACCAAACCAACAGAATACTAAACCAACCAAACGCAATACCACCCCAACAGAATACTAACCCAATACTAACATAATATGGATTTATTTAGAAGTTTCAATCAATCTATGTGCTAGGCATGACTCGCTGTTAATTCAATATTGCTCAAATAACCAGATTGGGTTGGCATCGCATCTTATTGTTGCACAGATTCTCCTCCGACTATTCCAAATCTAAACCAACTAGTATACATAAGTCCTAATAGTCAAAGTAGTCGCAATAAGGACAGTTTTCTCCGCCAATGTATGGTGGATAAATATATCCCCGGTGCCTGCTTGCCCCTCCATATGACCCGCCATATGACCCGCTGCCTCCCCCTCCATACGATCCGCCATACGACCCACCATACGATCCTTTGCTCGGCCCGTATGATCTACTGTTTGACCCACTATATTGCCCGCTGTAGTACCCCTGTGACGACCTATGGTCTGATCTAGGAGGTCCATATTGACTTGCTGTGGGGTTTTGTGAGTAAGATGAATACCGATTTGAGCTATATCCCGATCCACTGTATCTTCCACCACTTGCATAGCCCCCACTTTCTTCATGAGGAGTGTAAGTGTTCAGAGTTGTTGTTTCTGATTCGTATGGCATGTGCTCGCCATAATTAAATTGCGTTATGCCTGCCTCCATGTCCGCATCAAGCCTTTCTTTGGTTACCCAAACCCACTGTTGATTCTTTTCGTATTCCGAACCCCCGGCCTGACAACTTCCCAGGAACATCTGTTGGTTTTTATAGTTAACATCAAGACACTCATTAGCCAAGAATATACGAAAGGCTGTGGTGTCCATGTAAGCCGGAGCACTGAAGATAAATTTGTGGGTTTTGTGGTTATTGCGGTTAGATAGTGTTATTTTGGCGCCTCCTTTTGTCGAAGTAGCCTCCATTGATGCAACCTCGGAGCGCGGCCCAGAGTGTTTGCCTCGAGACTTTTCATTAGGAAAGGCCAGCAAGTTATAGGCCATGTCGCTATCCACAACCCCAATAACCTGCATTAATGTGGCATTCGCAGCTGTTGCGGTCAGATACAAATCGGCGGACTTCCCCGAATAAACAACAGTTACAAAGCCTTTCTGGCCGGTATTGAACAAATAACCCTTCTTTTGTGAGTCTAATAGCTCTGCACGGATCATAGACACAACTGAGAGCGCACAGAGAAGTTGCAGATACCAAACACTTCTCATCTTTGATGAAATCTGGATCAAAACTAGGATTTATATTTACAGCTTGATACTGTTTGAGAAGTTACAAATCATATCGCTATTTTTCCCATCAGATCATAATCGTGCTTCTTTGTTAATAAAGACTCGGTCGAAAGACCCTTATGTAAGAAATAGTCGTTTATTGGGTTAGCTGGGTAGTAAGGCGGTACGATGTACGCGATTGATTATGTTAGTGTTGGGTTAGTGTTAGTGTTAGGTCGCTAGCTACTTGGTAGTGTGCGGTTAATCAACGAAGGTAGGATCGTTTCTAAGCAAATAACCTCGGCAATATCGAGGAACATCACCAGCCGTGTTGTAGTGAAGATAGGGATCGGGGTACGGCAGATTAGTTGGTGAGCTCAGACCAGAAACATCCATGCGCACCGGCTTGTATCGGCTGCATAACCTCCTGAGAATACCCTCCTGTTGATCGGGAGTGATCTTGGAAACGTATAGGTCAGGGTTTGGCTGGTACGTAATGGGGTCTTTGCCGCGGTTAAAGTCGTTCTTATTCACCCAAGAGAACAGCTGGGTTAGCTGTCTAGATCCCGCAGGAGCACAGGCAGCTAGCGTAATCATAGAAGAGTCCTTGTCAACCGTAAGACAATACCTGCCTCCTATAACTTGGAAGGCATTCTCGTTCAGCAGAATAGGCGGAGTCACTGTAAACCGCGTATGTATTCCGGCATTGTAAGGACTTACAATTATCTTTCCGAGCCCAATATCCGGACAGGCCTCCAATATCCTCTTGTTTGCCAGGTCTTGCGAAACCGGAAGATATCCAGCCCGGTCATCAGGCCATGTGCCATTATCTTCCATAAAGACTAAGCCTGGGTAGGCTGAGACTCCAGATAAATATGTTCGGAGCTTAATGGCTTTGTTAGGATTATCAATGACGATTAGCCGAGTCTTCCCCACCGGGTCAATCCCAACGTACTTTCGCGCTCCAAGACTATACAAATAGCCCGGCAGGTTCACATCAAAGTCCTGATCATGATATTGTGCTTCGCGACAGTTCACATAGAGAACCCAAAGAAGAGTACAAATATATACACAACGCATAGATGCCATTGCTGTTGTTCAGATAAATGCCAGACATGTTTTATACTAGCCAACTGATAAATGATCAGCTTCGTTTGATCCGGATGAAACCACTGTTTTATTCTAACTAGCATTCACTCCAGTAGTTGATTAATGCTATTCAAAAAGAACCCCATCTACGCCACTGTCAGCTACTAACTTAACCTAACTTAACCCAATACCAACTTAACTTAACCTAACTCAACACCAACCTAATACCAACTGAATCTAACTAGATAATATCATTAAATAGTTGTTGATTTATTGCCATATTATGAGTCCATACTCGATATTCCTTACTTTAAGAGACCTTCCAGCCTAATACTACCTTTATTATACCTTAATTATATCATAAATTGATATTTTGATCTAGGGTGAAATTTGAACAGGGGGGTCAAAAATAAAAAGACAAATTCCAGGCCCAGGAATTTTGATTTTTTCCTTTTTAGATCGCAATTTTACTCCCAAAACGGAGATTTCCCTTATAAGGAAAATTTCC